CACATTTCGTAACGATGGTCGCTATTGGCCATCTGCCTCCTGCCGCCTCTGAGCTCTGTTGGGGTGGAATGCGCGGGGTTTTCGGCGCGATGCCTCCGGCGAGTATACGGTACTGCTCTGCCGCAAGCTCTCCTGCGCGCGCGTGACGTGTGGGGCGCGTGCACTGCGCTCGAAAGTCGCGATTTGGCAATAGGCGCTCGAGCCGGCGCGCAGTGGTAGGGTGCCCACAGGACCCAAAAAAAGAAAAGAAAAAAAGAAATGGGCCACCCCCGATCGCAGCACTTCGTGTTGGCCAGTCGAGATATTGAGAGTGTGACTAGGAGGGTGGGACGCTGGGGATTCTCAAAGGTATACCCTTGGAATGGCCGGATCCAGCCTTGAAAGTACGAGATCACGCGCGCTTCGCGCACAGCACCGCCTGACCGCCTGTTCTCCGCGGCTGAGTGACGACGCGTGCCGTGTACCAGCAGAGTTGGGCGCGCGCGGCGCGACGGCGCCCGCGAGGGAAGGCGCGGGTGCAGCGGCCGCCGGCGGCCGTACCGCCCGCCAGCCGGCGCAGCAGCGGCCAGCGCAGCGGCCGCCGGCGCAGCAGCCAGAGCAGCCGGTGCGCGCCTTGCGAGGCGAGTACTGCCGCCCGGCAGCCTTGAGGCGGCCGGGCGGCAGTACTCGTTCGAACTTTGCGAGCTGTGCGCGCGCCGAGGCGCGCGCGGCGCGCGCCCGCCCGGCTGCCAGTAGGAGGCGGCGCAATATGGCCTATAGTACAGCCCTTGAGGAGGAGGAAGAGGCTGGCTGGCAGTGCTGTATGCCGCCGAGGGGCAGTTTTGGGGTGCTGAGTCACGCCCAGGGGGCTGCAGAACGCGTCCGCAGCCGGGACAACCCGCCCCCCCAGCCGAGGCCGGTCGAAGCCCACTTGGGAGCAGCCATGAGGAGTCCTCTTGGTGCTCCTGGCGCCCGTTGGAATGGCGAGCGCGCGCCGATGGGGGGGGGGGGGTCTTGCTTGCTCCACACCGAGCGCCATCGGTCCGGACCGGTGCTCCCACCGAGGGTAGGCCTGCACAAGGTCTGAGCCGCGGGCGCTCGGCGCCAAGTGCAGTGTCACGCTCGCACGCGAGCGACTCACAATGGGAAATCCTCGTTTCCTATTCACTCGGTCCCCCAACGGAAGAGGCCTCGCTCCTGTTGGAACAAGCCAACATCAGATTTGCCTCGTGCGTCCCTTTTTGAGCCGCAAAGCTATTTTCTTTTGGGTCCTGTGGGCACCCTAGCAGTGGAAGGGGGCGCCGCGCAGGGGGGTCGGGGGGGGTGCGAGGGGGGGCGTGGGTCGGGCGCGCACCGGCCGGCTCCGAGAGCGGCCGTCACGTCGAAGAGGGGGGCTGGTGCTGCTCGATGACGAGGCGTGCCGCTCTGCTGCGCTGCCGACAGCCCCTCTTCCGAGCCGGCGCGTGGCGGCGAGCCGCGGCCAGTGTCGCTGGTGCGGTGGCGGCGCAGCGTGCATCGGCCGGCGGCGAGAGCGGCCTTCACGTCGATGAGGGGGGGTTGTCGGCGACTCGTGTGGCTCGCGGCCTACCGGTACGCTGCGCCGCCCGAGCCCTACTGCCGATCCAGCGCCTGGCGTTTGGGGCGAGCCGCGGTCGTCGTCGCTGATGGTATGGCGGCGGCGGCGGCGGCTCGCCCTTCCCTCCGGCCGCAATTCCGATCCCGCCGCGCTCGCGGGAGGTCGCGCGTATATATTTATAGACAGCAAGGGCATCCGTGCTGCTGTGCGCCCCCTGGTGCGTGGTTGCTTTCAAGTTCTTAGATCACAACCCAAGGATGATATAATAAGACAAAAAGATCCTTGCGCCTTGCCGATCCGCACCTACCTAGGCTCTTGGGTGGCGCGCCCACTCTTCACAACGATCCTGGTTGCTCCAGCTCGATCAAGCTTCGCCGTCCTCCCGTGGCTGTAGAACACATCGTCCTCCCACCTGTGGAGGATTTTGAGCCCGCCGACATCCTCGAGGCGCGCCGTCTTTGGCTGCAGCTCGATTGTCTTGTGACATATGCTCACGTGGTCGCAGCAGCTCGGCGGCCGGCCGGCGGAGCTGGAGAAGCTCCCGTCAGACCACTACCTGCCGGAGCGCTACCCGCAGATCTGGAAGCGTGCGTGCGACGCAGCCATCTCACAGGCTGTGTTGATCAATCTCACGGCGCGGCAGCGGGAGCTGCCTTCGTGCTCCTCCGCCAAGAGACGAGCTGGTCTGGGAAGGATGACGGTTGGGCAGCACATACACGGTCTCTCTGGCGCCGCCTTTAGCTCCAGGGCGGTGTGCGCTCTGGAGGCGCCTCGCGGCCGCCCTGGCCGGGTGTGGCAGTGGCTGCGAGGCGCCCCTTGCGCCGCTGACGGCTGGCTCTGCCTCTTCCGCCCGTTTGACGAGCCTCCAGCGCCGAGCGCGCCGGCCGACCACTGCTCGAATCGATGGGCCGGGGCGTCATGGCCGCCGCTGCCGCCGCTGCCGCCGCCGGCCGACATGTGGTCTCGCAAGGCGTCCCAAACCAGCGCTTCCCCGCGCTGGGACCGCTTCCTCTGGCTCGCCGCCTACACGCAGCTCATCTCGCGCCCGTCAGAGGCGACGCTCGCTTGGGCGGCGGAGCGGCGGCGGGAGCTGCGGCCGCATCTCGCGGGCCCGTGCGCGCGCTTCCCGGCCGTGTCGTTGCAGGCGCGGCGCGGAGACAAGTGCAACAGCGCGAACGCGCGGATGCGGCCGCAGCACTCCTTCTCGTGCGGAGGCCTCGCGGCGTACTTGCCCGCGCTGCGGGCCATCCGGCACGCCTACGGCTCGCGCGCCGTAGATGGCATTTCCGTCACACACACCTCCCCGCCCTCACTCTGCGCTCTGTGCCGCCAGGCTCCTGCGCGCTGCGCGTCGCCACGGATGGCCGGTCGCTCATCGAGGAGCTCGAGAGCGGCGCGCCGAGATCTAGCCGAGATCTAACCGAGATCTAGCCGGGATGTAGCCGAGATCTAGCCGAGATCTAGCCGAGATCTAGCCGGGATGTAGCCGAGAACTAGCCGGGGCGGCGCGGGCTCGAGAGTGATGCGCGCCGCCCGAGAGCGAGAGCGCGAGGCGCCGCTGCGCCGCGTGGGGCCCTGTGAGGACGCCCTCTTCCCACGCGGGACACGCTGTGAGCAGGGGCGCTGCCTGAGCTGGAGGGGTGGCACGTGCTCTACCACGCCTTCAACCGCACCGCGCACGAGGCGCAGCGCTGCGAGCCGATGCCCGTCTGCCAGTGGATCGAGTACCGCCGCGAGAAGCTCGGCATCGACACGGCGGGCATGGGCTTCTCCCTCGCCGCCGACCTGCACCTGCTGGCGGGCGGCGGCGTCTTCGTCGGCCAGTTCGACTCAGAGACGGGGCGGATCGCCTACCTGCGCATGGCCGCGCGCCTCGGCCTCGCCCCTCCCTTCTGGCACTACCAGTCGACAAAGGAGCGCGCCCGCGCCTGGCACCCGTTTACGCGGCGGCCGCGCATGTGGGCGGAGGTCTAGCGAGACCTCTCAGAGTCTCAGGATACTGCAAAGGGGGTGCATACGGGGGGGTATTAGTAGAGCCGTACGATGGGAACGCGTGCATATCCTGACGAGTACATTACTACAGTAGAGTGTCGTGTGCCGTATGTGTGAGAGGGGGAGCGCACAGTGCTCAGTGGAAAGTCAAAGCTCTCGGTGTTTTGTTTAGGGCGGGCGCACCGCCGCGGGGGAGAAAGGAGGCGGTGTGGCGTGTGCGCCGGGGGCCGACACCGCGGTGGACACGGACCGAGAGACAGTGCGAAAAAAAAACGCGCTCATGCGAGACCGAGAGACACACCCCCTATGGCCCCCGCGTGCGGTAGCGCGGGGAACTTACAATACACAAATAGATGGGCAATGCCTTGTGCTTCAGCCCGCCTGCTTGCGCTTGCGGCTGCCGGCTCCGCCTCCGCCGGCTCCTCCCCCCTTGGACGCCGCCTGCTTTGACGCCTGCTCGGCTAGCCGCGCCTTGCGCTGCTCGGCCAGCCGCGCCTCTCGCCGCTCCCCCACCTTGCTGATGTGCTCCGCGTGCTTCTCGCCGTACTCCTCGAGGAGGGCGCACAGTGTCGAGAGGCCGTCGCTGCCCGTCGCGCCGCCCTGCCGCTGCCTCCACTGCTCGAGGCTCTGGCGCCCATTCCACAGCGTGTAGGCGACGGTCGTCGCGTTGCCAGCCTTTTGCAGCATCTGCGTGAAACCCGCCCACGCGTCGTCCGGCACGCCGGCCGGCCGCGCGGCAGCGACCTCGTGCGCCAGCCGGCGCACCTCCTCCTCCACCTCGACCGCCCGCTGCGTCAGCACCTTTTGGTACTCCGGGTCCGTCCGCCTGCGGCCCGCCTACGCGGAAGACTCGGGAGACGCTGTAGGGGAAGGCTCCAGCTCCTCTCCGGGTGGTCCGCCGCGCCTCGGCGTCGACGGCCCCCTGCAGCCGCTGCAGCGCGGCCGTCGCCTTCTCGTGGCCCTTGACGTGCCGGTGCTTGTTCTGCAGCGTCTCCAGCAAAGCGCGCGTCTCCCCCCGCAGCAGGTGCGCCGCGTAGTCCTGCTCCGGCTCCTGCTTCCCGTGCGGCTTGAGCCACGCTTTGGCCGGCACACTACTTGGGCGCGCCTTGACGGCCTCGCGGCCGAGCTCGCAGAGACGCCTCTCCGTCTCCTCCGTCGCAGCCACCGCGCCGCGCCGACCCGCGGCCCGCTTCTCCTCGGCCTCCTCCCGTGCTCGTGCCTCCTCCCTCGCGCGTGACTCGGCGGCGGTGAGCGGCGCTCGCTTGCCGTTGCCGCCTCCAGCCGTCGCCAGCCCGGGAAGACTGCGTAGCTCGAAGCGGGCGAGTGCGGCGCTGTCGGGCCGCCCGGGAGGCAGCCGCATGTCTCTTGGCGGAAGCCGCCGCAGCAGCGGGCCCAGCCGCGAGCCGGGGCTGAGCGGCAGCGGCTCGCCGTCGCCCTGGACCTCGCGCAGCCATGCCTCCCACGGCCGCGGCGCTGGGGCGCGCAGGTAGCCGGGCAGCGCCTCGGTGGACATGTATGTATTGCGCGACGGAAGCGCTCCTAGGTCGGCAAAATACTGTTTGCTGTTCACAGCTAGGGACGGCCTCTGCGGCAAAGTCAAACCAGCAAACCTTCGGCTCCCGCTCAGAGGCTCGCCGCGCCCGTGCGGCGCGCCGAGGCGGCGCCGAGGCCGGCGCCTTGCACCCGGCCCGCGGCCGGCACCGCCTCGCCCCACAACTGACCGCCCTGCGGCCCCTGCGCAGGCGTACCACAGGCGTCGCTCCTCGATGATCGCTTTGCGGTGCTCCGTGATCTCGTCACCGCGCTTGCCGAGGAACTCGCTCTGGATCCACTTTTCCACGGCACACTGTGGGATGCCGCCGAAGAGCTTGGCCTGCACGAAGTGCACCATCTGCTCTTTCGACCAGTCGCGCTCTGTGCCCTCACAGCGCTTGACCTCCTCCACGATGTTGTGGAAGAACATCGGGTTGCTCGAGTCGCGCAGCTTGGACCACTGCATCGAGGCGCCGACGGCCAGCGCGAAGACTTCGCGCTCGTTCGGCAGCGTGTGCTTCGACTTGCGTGCGCCAGAGGCTGAGAAGAGCGAGTGCATGCTCCGCTGATTGCGCTTTTGCTTGCCGCCAACTGCTTGCCGCCCACGAAGAAAGAACTCGCACGGAAAATGGGACGTAATGAGCGCGGCGCGCGAAGGTACTTCACAACTTTGTCTTTGACGTACAACACATGTCCATGTACATGTACAGCTGTAGAGCGTGCGGCCGACGTGTCCCGCTGATCCCCGAGGTCCCCACCCATCCCCACCCATCCCCACCCATCCCCACCCATCCCCACCCATCCCCACCCATCCACACCTATCCCCACCCATCCCCACCCATCCCCA